GGACAACACCAAAACGGGCTTTTACACGCTGAAGCCATCCTGTTGCTCCATTGTCCTGTTCCGGTTTGTCCTGTTCCGGTTTGTTCTGTTGCCCTTTCCGAGTGAAGGCACATTGCTCCTTGCCACGATCTACATGTTAGATGTTGGGTGTGTCAGGAGCATCAAGACTCCCTCAGAAACCTTTGATCGAAACCCTGCTTAAGAATTGTACAAGTTGTGTTTGCTTTTCTTTGCTTTTTTTTTGTTGTTTGTGTTTTTTTTTTGGGGGGGGGGCGGGGGGTGGGGGGGGGGTGAGGTGGCCTTTGATTTCCTCCCTATCATTATGTTGGCACTTCTCGACATGGGAGCATTCAATTTCTTTGGGCGCTTTGTCGCTTTGAGAACCTGCGGCCATCCGCCAGGCGCTGTTGGAGTGGAGTTTCTTGGGCGCTGCAAGCCCGTGCGAGAATGGATGTCTGAATGCCGTGGCCAAAAGAAGAAATCGGAATTGCCCGCTTGGCTCTGCAGTGCGGTTTGATTCTGAAAAGGCTTTGCTATGTTGATCCTTGCGTTCCTTGCAGGGATTGCCGAGGGCTGAGTTGTAGGATCTCTGTGGTCTTTATAAAGGTCCCGCCCCCCCGTTGAACATGACATATTTCAATTAGACCCCCTCCCCTTGAGGGGGCGGTGATGCCGGCACGCAGCAGTATCAGCCGTGCTCAAACACCATGGCGTCTTTGCTCAACACCATGCTGTCTTCGGGGTACGCATTGCTTATTGAGCAACAATCGCACACATGTGTGTGTGTGTGTGTGAGTGCAATGTGGTCAGAGAAAATCAACTCAACCGGCTCTACGTCTTACTGCCCAACTCAGGTATCCGAATGGCGATCCTAGTAGCCAAGTACAGCAAGCACCCCCCACCCACCCACCCACCCACACCCCCCCCCTGCACCCTCACCCCCCCCACCTGCCCCCAACCCCAACCCTCACCCCCCCTAACCCCCACCCTCACCCCCCCCACCTGCCCCCAACCCCAACCCTCACCCCCCCGAACCCGCACCTCACCCCCCCCCACCCCCACACCCCCCCACCCCCCACCCCCCTCCCTCAAGACTCAACGTGCCTGTGAGGCGCCACGAACAGAGCCCAAGGGATATGCCTGGCAATTGGCAGTGAGGCTTGCCTAAATCAGACATTCGCCGCGCCTTGTTTACACGTGTTGATGTGTTGGGATGTAATATTACTGTTGTAGGTATGTAATAAAACACATGGCTTGTTTTAGGTATGTAATATTCTTTGACATGTGTTGGGATGTCCTTAGATGTGCGGCTGGTTGATTGGCCGCTAATGTTGCGTGGACAATCTGGGTCGGTCTTTCTGTAAAGGCACCCTGGCGCTTTCACAGGGACACCAAAAGGAAAACCACCTCTCTCCTTTTTGTTTTGGGGGGGGGCCCTAAACAAGTATAAACCCAACCGACACGGTTTCTTCCTTCCATCCTTGGTACGAAATGGATCCAAGATCGGCCTCCCCAGTTGGCAGCTAATGGCCTGCTTTGACGCTCTCCCCTTCAAACATCACGCCAAAAGGACACTTGCGTTTAAAATGCCCAAAAAGTGATGTTTAGACCCCAACAAAGGACAATGGATCCCTGCAGAAAGCACTCGAAGGTGTGTACAGGTGGGTGTCGGGGCAAAGCTTCCCTCACGTTTCAAGCTCAAAATCCAAGCTTCCTCACGGCGTTGCCGCACATGGCCTGCAGTTGCTGCCTCCAACAAGCCATGAAACAAGCTTCAGCAATCTGATCGGGGACTTTGTCTGTGTAGACTGTTTCCATTCTGGAGATGAACAAAATGCAGATTTCTACTAACATGACTCTAGAATCTGCCCAAACTTATCTCAGGCCTGAGCCAATTGTTCAGGCTTTCTAGGACTAGAACTAACCGGCAGTTCATCTGACGCAGAATGACCAACAAACCAAGGTCCATCATGACAAACCCACTTGGCCATGGGTCAAATTCCCGGTTAGCCCCCAGTGAACATCCGATTCAATCCAACCACTATAATAGGTTCTAACATGGGCGGTGAATTCACCGAAAACCCCCCAAAATGGGATCCCAAAGCGGTTTTGACAACCACAGCCACCTGGCCGCTTTTTTTGAGGGAACCAAGAGGAAACCAAGGGAATCCAAGGGGCTGTGGCATCCCAAAAAACTGCTTTGCCCATGGATCCCAGGTCCATGGAGGGGCTTTCCTGCGACGTGGCCGCGAAGCGCTTGTGGTGTAGCCTGGCCTCAACCGCCAAGAGACCATGATTCCAATCCCATTATTTTCAGCCATCGTTCTTTTCAACCAGCCATTGTCCAGGATTTGGGTGGTTTTCTAGAAAGAAGGATCCTTGGAAAGAATGGGGAAGATACCCCTAGAACTTGGGTGGCTCCTTCTTTTTTGAGGGTAGCCCCCTTCTGGTTGGCTAAGGGAAACCAACATTAAGCAACTTGTTTGTTTGCTTCCTGTTTTTTTTTGGGGGGGGGTCCAAATCCAAAAAAGACACACACACCCAGCGTGCTGGAAAGGCGGCACTGCAAAAGGGATACACCACAACATGAGATAGCACCTGTCCAGCGCCGATCAATCGGTGAGCCCACGTCTTTAATTATCCTATTATGGAATGACGGAATGGCCCTCAACAAAGCTACCACTCGTGTCTCCTGGGATTTCACTGTGTTGTGGGATCTTGCTGGAGACTCACTGGAGGACAATGGGTCTCGGAGTGGCTTTTGCCATGCAATTGCAAAAAACTGCAGGCCTCCCTTTCAGCTCATGTGCACCCATGCTGGAAGGGCAACTCCTGTTGTGACTAGACAGCCCCAACAGTTCATGTGCACCCATGCTGGAAGGGAAACTCCTGTTGTGACTAGACAGCCCCAACATGCGAGCGGTCAGCTCCAACAGGAATGCATAGCAATGGGCGCAGTCGCTACTTAAGTCTGCTAGCAATACCACTGCAAAAAGCTATGTCCGCCTTCAGCAACTATCCCCGCTTGATCTCTGCTTCAGAAAGGCTACCTTTCAAGACACGAGAAAAGGATTGAGTCCCCTGAATTGCGCGGAAAGTTTTGGTGTGTCCCCCATGTCCCTTCCAAATGGACCACGCGCCACTGGAAAGTCTGACCGAAGCAATTTACTTTTGGGATAACGTCCCGAATTCCAAGGGTTGATGACCTTCCTACCGGAGGTTTCCTTGGGCAGTCGGCATGTGCGGGAAAGCTCTGGGGCTTTTACCAGGAACTGCTCTTGGTGCAAAATGCCCATATCCACCTCAGCTGTCATTGCTCTCAAGCATACGCTTCTCATCGACTTCGCCGCCTCTCTGCGTGATGCGAGTCTTGTTCGACATCGCCAAGTCGCCAAACGACTCCAGCAAATGGAAAACAGTGCGAAACCAAAACATGAGCTACAATCAAAACCCGGGAAAATGAAGGCTGGTAATGGACAATCCCAACCACAAATAGCTGCGGCTGCCTTCTTAATCCTTTTCCTGGTTCTGGGTAGACCATTTATTACCGGGCTTTGATTTTGACTCACATGCATCCGGCGACCAAAATGCCAACTCTCGAGCCCCATGCTAGGCATTCCTTGAGGGCAGTGAGCTCATTGGTCAGCTCCCTGACATGGACCTGCAGCCAAACACCAACTTGAAAATTCACTAAGTCTGGTTGCGCTCCCTGGGCAGCATGGAGAGTTGGTCACCCTGCAGTTCCAACCAACTGTCACTCAATCTGGCCACCAAAAGCCAAGAACAAGCCTTCAAATCCTGGCTTTCCCTTGGACATCTCAAATACATCAAGGAGTATCCCTAATTTGGGCAAATGGCATGAGTGTCCGATTCCCTTCTTACCCTCCGTTGGCTAGTCTCTGCCTTTGTTCTGCCAGAAACCTGCACACTCAGCAACCCAAGAAGGCGCATACAACGGGCACGGCTTGCTGAAAACGGAGGGCGAAGCCCAGCGTCGATTCATCATCTCCACTGGCTCTCGACATATCCAGCGTGGTAGATTTGTGTAGAAGCATGTCTCATATCCAACAACTTGACCTGAGTCATAATCAAAACCCGGTATTAACATGGTCTACCCAGAACCATGTAAAGACTTAAGAAGGCGGACGCAGCTATTTATGGTTGGGAGTATCCCTTACTACCCTTCATCTGTCTCATATGGCCACGGAGCATAACCTTTGGCTCCATTTTGGGGTGGATGAACGTCCATTTGCCAGCTATTTGATGTTCACCAGGGGTTTCCCGCGTTTTGACCCACAGCCATATCCGACAACATCTTGCGTCTGGTTGCGGAGGAGACGGCTTCGTTTTGCCGCTGGACTTCCAATCCCATCCCGCAACCCGCGTGAACCGCTGCGGGAACCTCGAGCTTCTGCATGCCCTGCATCTCGGCACGCGCGCGGCCAGAGCTCACGAGCGAGCCGGAGGCCGCGGCGAGAGTTGCTCAGGGGTTCGCAAGAACCTCTCTGGCAACAAGGCTTTAAAGGGCGATGAAGTTCGGTAGGTCAGGCAAGTGGGTAAAAAGTGGTTATGACCTAAGTCTCCGTTCAGGCTATAAATATGGTTGTTACCCGCTTGACGTACCCTGCCCATTTTTTGGCTTGGGTCCTTTGGCCATGGCACGGCTGTTTCGGCACTCTCTCGGAACGTGTCCAATCCCTTGGTTCATGCATTCCAATGGCTTCTTTGAGAACAGCTGCTCCCTTACAAAAACGCTGGACGGTATCTGAGGGCAAGCTGAGACACCTAGAGCGAAACTTGACAAATGTATGTAGAAACTCAAACAAATGATAGACAATTCAAACGCTGCATCTAAGAAATCTAATCCAGGAAAAAGTATCCCGTGAACACATGGCAGCAGGTAGTATTTAACAACGGACCTGCAGCTTTCAGAGTTTGTGGCTATATTCAATGGTGCTTGGTGTTGTTTTCCCCCCACAAAAGCAACAGCACGACAAATCATCACATCAATTCTTGGGCTCGAGGTTCAGCAAAGCTTCTTCGCGCGAGGCAAGGCCACGTCAAACGCCCCAGTGGTGGCCATTTTTGCCCCGAAGGAAATGAGAGAAACATATTTCGGGAGCAGCGCCACCCTGGTTCAGGGCAGCTCTGCCTCCCTTTCAGCCGAGATCTTGCACCATCCGCTGCACCAGCCCGGCCTAGGACGCGCAAAGAGGATCGATCCGTGGCTTCGGAGCAGAGCACTTCGCATTTACCCCCGAGAATAGAAACAGATCTCTCTGGCTCCACTATTTTACTACTAGCAAAGTCAGCCCCAAATGGTAGGACAAAGGGAAACACCCCCAGTTTCTTCTGACTTGGATAACCCCCAAAAACAGTCAAAGTAATGACCCCAGTCTCTTGCTCCTCTCTACAAAGATGCTGCTTTCTCCCCCCTCTTTCTCTCGGCAGGAGCCTCCCATCATTGGTGTGGTCTCCTCTGCACTTCTGGGCACTTCCAGCTTCCACTTTTTGCGTCCAGGCCGCTTCGTTTCCTCTCAACCCCCGCTGCTCGCATTCCAGCAGCAAACGCTCTCTGCAGAGGCCCAGCCCCAACCTTCGAAGATTCTTCACTTGGGCTTAACAAAACATGGTGGAAAACTGTGAAGTTCTGACCCTTGAGGACACTCAACAAACGCCATCTCTGACACCCGGGCGAAGGCGCGCTTTGATTGGGGAGGTGATGCTGCAAGAGTACTCGCACAAACCATCCCCGCCCGCTGGCAGCAAAACCAGGATCCCCATATTCAAGGCCTCATGTGTACAGCTGCCTGCATTGTCAAAACCAGCGGTGTGCAAAATTGCAAGAGGAAGCCGATCGAATTCAACTCCCTTGCTGGTGCTCAGTAGGGAATGTGGGAATGAACCTGGATTCCTGAATAAAGGAAACCAGTTGGATGGTTCAAATCGATTTATCATGCCATTAAAATCATTCCGCAAGCTGCCTAAGTGCTAGGATCTAAGGGTTTGTGTATTACACCCTGGGGATTCACCCCCCATTTAGGCACATTTCCGGATACAACCGTGTTGTTTTGAAGCATTCTGGGTCATTTCCCCAGGGTTGTTCATCCCGGGTGTACTACAAAAACCCTCAGATAGGAATGCCTCCGTCCCCCACGCCTCTGCCGAAGTTGTTCCTCCGCCAGGAGAAAGACTCGCTGCCAGCGGCAGGACTCGCGGAACCGAGAACCGGGAACGGGGAAGCGCGCCATGACATTTCAGATCTTATCTTGCTGGTGCGAGAGAGGCAGGGAATGACTTAAATGGCATGACCCATATTTAAGCCATCCAACTGGTGGTTTCCGGGAAAAAGGGACCCCTGGGTTCATTCCCTCCTTCCCTGAGCACCAGCGAGTTGTTTGGTGTGCTCTAAGAGGCCGTTGCTACAAGGCACTGTGGATAGTTGCGAAATCCATTTCGCATCACCTTGATTCTCCTGAAAATACTAACAAACCGTGGATTCTCATAGTTTTAAAGTGGTGCAGGATTTCGTCCATCTACAGCATGCAACAATTCAAAAGGCTTGAGCGTTGCTCAACATCTGGGGAAAGCGACGGCATAAGAAATAGCTGCTCCTACGGACTTCTTCCAAAGTGATTTCAAAAGACCCAAAAGTAAGCAGAACCATCTTTGTCGAACCTAGCCAACAAGCCTTCCCTGCATGCCTGCATGCCTGCATGCGTGCGCGCGCCTGCATCGCAGAATTGAAGCTGATTTGGTCCGCTGGCACAGCCAGCCGGGGCATCTGCCGGAGCGCTCCCAAAGACTCCCGCCAGTGCTCCGCGTGGGCAAAGCTGCTGATGGCGGAGTTCAAGCCTTCAGCTCCAAAAGTTAAGCAGGGCTGTGCTTGGAAATGGAATCCACGAATCGGTGATTCACCCAAAGAACCCCCCACACAAAGGGGGAGATTCCCAACTTGTATCACAGAAGTGGCTGGATAAACCCCGAGTGATCCACAACCCTGCTAACCTTGGCCCCAAAACTCTGCTGCAACTTGCCAAGGGGCATGTCTGGTCGAAAGACACTGCCAGTAAGGTGCTCAGAATCCGTGCCATCCATTCCCAGCTGTCTTTGGACTGACAGGAATCTACCAAAGAGCTGTAAGTGACCAGGTCTTGTCGGATTCCGCGATTTCGCATCGACGCGCAAAGTTGCAGTACTGCGTGCCAATCCCTTGACTCCTTCAAAACATCCAGCATTTCATTCCTCGGCTATGCACTGTCCTACTGAAAACCAACATCCTCAAGGGAAGTCCGTTCAAGGCGCGCTCCTTCAGAACCAATTTTGGCCGGGCAACATCACGGCCAACCTGGTGAAGTTGTCTTCATGCTTGGTTGCTTGGCAGTGTTTAGCAGGATCATTTCAATCCTTGAGCTGGTTGATCGGGTCCGGGAAGCGAATGTTTGGGTTTCTTCCAATCGTTTTGGCCTTGCCTCAAACCTGGGGACTCTCATGGCTGGTGGGCATAAACCCCCAAGGTCGGCGATCCCGAAGTGTTTGGGCTGGCTCGATCGGGGATTGTTTGAGTCTTGCTTGACGGAAACGCTGAGCACACATTGAACAAACACCTGCGGCATATTTAAATTTGAAGGAGCATGTATGGCGGTTGTCAGCTACGCGAAGTAAACTTCCGCAGCCCCAGCTCGAAAGCCGTTCAGCAACACAGGAAGGGACCCGCTGGCCACCGATTTTCAGAAACTGGTGGGGAGGTCCATCGACTTTTCGCGAAACTTTTGCGAATCTTGCGCCAACCATTATCGAAAATCCGGCTGGGAAGTTGCGCTCGACTGGACCCGACAGCTTCAAAACTCCAGCCAGCAGCTTTCTGCTGCGGCGTGCATTTGCAGCGACGTATTCTTGCCGAAATCCTCACGCCGTGCTTCCCTCCGACCAACTATAGTCTGTGTACATTCTGCGCGCGCTGCCGGCAAACAGACATGGCTTTGAAACTAAATAACTTCCGCGACCTCCATCGCGAAGCTTTCACGGAGGGCAAACCTGAGACCAAAAGGTCTTCCCTTTGCATATATGAATCAAAGGACCTTTCGGACGTCTCCCATATGTCGAGAACCAGATCTTGGCACGGGAAAACACACGCCCCTTTGTTTGTAAAAATGGGCGTGTTCAGGCACAGGTCTTTTCTGGACCGAGATGTTTGCGTTGGTGCGCAACGGGGACAATAGTGGTATAAAGTCAATCGCCTAGGGATACAAAGGTGTGACATTTGTTTGAACCAAAAGACCGGCTACACGGAGTCAGCCCAAAGGTGACTGGCTTCGAGCTGAAAAAGGAAAGAAGTTCGTCTGGCTCAGCAAAGGAGGAGCATACAACAACATCACAACGCATGTCGTACAACAACATACAACTGCAACAACATACTGTTGCATATCGGCCAAGTCGCTGCATGATCACGTCCACCTGGATGCCCGTCTGCAGTGCCTGCCACCACTGGGGGAAGCTCCGGCTGGTTGGGTCTGGCGAGATCTGGCGCTGCGCCATCTGTGCCATAAGCCGCACCTTGGATTGCAAAGTGGGCGGAGACGGGGGGAATTCTGCCCAGGAAGAAAACCGCTTGCAAGTGGTTGGGTCATATAATATGTTGTTGTTAGTGTTTAATGCAAGGGGACACGGTCAGAGGTAACCCACGCTCTGTGGAAACCCTGACCGCCAAATTATCTATGTCAACTTTCAAGGGCACACCGTTGGCGGGCAGGCACCCACGTATTGCCAATACCTACTCCAGCTGTGCGATTGAAACCTTAGATCGGAAGAAGCCAAATGTCTGTGTCTACGTTTTGAAGTTGACTCAAACTCACTCAAGACTTACACTTGGAAAAACCCGCCACGCAGTGGTATGGCCGGCAAAACCAAACAGGGCAAATAGGAGGCAATATGAGGCAAAGGATTGCAAAGCATTCTCTGCTCCAAATCCCACCACATTGGCTGCGAGGGCACGCCACTGCGCCACACGCTGCACACCTCTGCCGCCTTCATGCAGGAAGTGTAGGTGATGACGTCCGCACGAAGCGAATCCTTCACAAAAGCACCTGGATCGATTTTGGGGCAAGGACTACGCCAGGTTCGTCCAGATCTCCCCCCTTACTGCATCTTGCTGCACTCATCACTCCTCACCTCTTTTATCCATTTGTCTGTGGCTAAAAAAACTGGTACCAAAATGGCGGCACCTTGGTAAATGGAACCAAAGACTAAAACGCGCGTAACCCCAGGTCTTCAATTTTGAGCCATACCCATTTCTCTTTCTTTATATCTCCTTCCATTGGCGTCAAAAGGGCCCCTGGCAAAAGGCACTGGAGAGGCGTTGGGGCGAGACCCGTCCGTGTCACTTTGTCATTGGAATCCAAAGGCGTTAGACCCGGGCAGCCGATTCAAGCGCTGCTTGGTTGGCACTGCAGTGACGAGCCTTTGCGCGTGGGGGTGTTGTTGAAGCCGATTTGCAAACAACTATGAAGGACTGCAGCAAAACAACACAGGAGAAACTGCAAGAGCGCCGAAACACAAGGGAGTCCAGAAAGCCTCCGGGGCTACAAGACCACGGAAAAAACTACAAGACGGAACGTGCCTGACTGCACGGCTACCTGGCAGAAAGGGTTCATTGGTAAGCTTCCGAATTGGGCTCCGTGGTGCTCGGAGAAGTGCCAGCAACTGCTCTAGATATCTCACCATCGTTCGGATCATTTCTGGGTTCAAGTGAGCAGCGCCCGAAACCTAATATCAACTTTGGTTCTACTGGCCATTGCTTCCGCAAAACCTTCCGCAGGTCTTACGCGACCACAAGTTTGCTTACGCGAGCGGGGCTCTCACGTGCTCTTGCGAACCACTGACTACGCAAAGCTTGCACGGCGCAGCCTTCGAGTCTGGCGCAGTGCAATGTAGCGAAGCATCCCCAAACTAGAGCTTCGTTGAATCAAGCTAGAGCTTCCGCGAAGCTTAGTTCCCCCCACGCGACCCCACACGTTTTCTTGCACGGAAGTATGCTAAAGAGCCGGATCTCAATCTTCACTTGCACTGGGCGGCAGCCTGTAGTCCATCTTGCTTCCCCCTTTACAAGAGACCATGGCAAATACCTGGATTTGAAGCAACTCTGCTTCCCCTTACCCCAACTTCCCCTCCCCGGGTGGATTCGTCAAAAAAGAATAAGAAAAACGAAACAGCGGTCTGCTCACCACACATACGATCTTCCGCAAACAAAAAAGCAAGTACAAGTCTAAGTCATCTTCCGCTTTTTGAGGTGAACCGCATCCGCCCCTCCGACCCCTGCGGCGCCTAGGCCCTGGCAGGCTTCCTGCCACCGGTTCTGCGCCGTGCCCAGCCAGGCGTTCCAAAGCCGCGCGGCTCTCCGCGAGCGGAGCACCGGTTCCAGCGACCGCTCCCAGCCCGACCCCGAGCCGGCGAGCGAGCCGAAGCTCACCACGTCTGGCTCCAATGACCGCGCCCCCAGCCTCAAGGCGGGAGACATGTGATCCGGAGAGATCCTCTCATAGAATGTGAGTGTTGTCTGCAATTCGTGCTTGATTATCCAGACCATAGTCAAGTCATGTTGAGCATGGCCAAAGCTCAGTGCGTGCAGTGAAACCATGCTTCTGGGGCTGACAGCCATCCGCAACGAGGGCTTCGGGCAAACAATGGTCCACAAATTAAACGAGCGCTAATGCCGCCGGCTGGACACTTACCTGTCAGATTGGGGATGTGGAAGAAACAATTGTTTCCGTGTCCTCAACCTAGCAGGTTCATGGAATCTTTGCGGGGCGGGGGGGGGGCTATGGGGGGGGGCATCGCCCCCCCTCCCCATAGCCCCCCTTGAGGGTCCATGACAGGTATTTGTCTCTAACTTCAAATCGATGTTCAACGACGAGCAGCTCCGAAAACAAGCTCCACGCGAGGTTCCAGCGGGGCACTGCATGGATGGCTGTGTTGAAGCTGACCTCATCTGCCAAGCGCATCCACAAGACGGACAACAACAGCTGCCACTGTCCGCCGAGAGCATCAAGAAAAATGTTCCTCAGTCGAGTCAAAGCTCATCCTTCTTGCACCGTGTTTCGAACTCGCCTGGGCCTCACACGATGTTTCCTCCAAGAAAGTGCCTGGTTCCAGGTTGTCCTGACGTTTTGAGCTACTGTGGATGGACGAAATCCTGTACCACTTTAAAACAATAGGAAACTCTTGTTTCTTGGTACTTACAGGGGAATCATCAGAAGCCAGGGTTTCTTAGGCGGTGTGGCTCCGAGCTTCTGCTTGACTTGGACCCGGGAGGAGATCTGCACGGCGGCTGGCCACCGCCCTTTGCAGGCGCCCAGGACTTGCCCCCTGCTCACGAGATCTGCTTCGACCCGAACATCGGCCAAGTTGGCGAAGTGAAAGAGCGACGCTCGCCAGCTACTGGTGGACTTCAGGGGAACCAGCAGCGCCTTGGTATATCTGCTGATGCCTGCCTGCATGCGCTTCATGTGCTTCAGATGCGCCAGTGAGAGCAACCAGTGAGAAGACTCCATGCACCCTCGCACACATGAGGATGCCGTAACAACGTCCGGCTCCAGGGACCAGTCGCTGAGGCTCGCCGCCAGCGCCAAGGCGCGCTGCCACCGGCCCCTTCTCACATGCGCATTCGTCGCAGCATTGACTTGCCAAATGTTCAGCGCGTGCGCCCGGCGCACACATCGCAGTACCAGGTCCACGGTGTCTGGAGCCACGGGCGCAGTCCCCAGCTTGTCCAGGAGCTTGGTGGCGAACTGGGGGTTCTGCTGCCAAGTGCTGATCTCCTCCAATGGGCAGGCGAACTTCACATAAAGGCGATCTACGTTAGGAGCAATTTCCATATGAGTCTCTCATTTTTTAATGGTACCTTTTTGTTTCTAGTGTTGTTTCAAAGGGAAACCACAAGGAAAACCATCATTTTCAGGGGTCCCCCCCTAAAAAACGACACACCCATATACACTTGTCCAACGCGAGGATAGTCCAAAACGGACCCTCTCCTCCGACAAGGTTTTGCACACCTCCTCAAACTTTGGCGCCCCCTGCAGCTGCCGCAACACCTCGAAGCCCATTTCCGCATGGTTGGGGCTTCCTGAAACTGCGGCGCCGTCGTCAAGCACGCCCTGCGGAGAAAAAGCTTGAGCCCACTGCGAAAGCAATACTCCAGGGGTTGATATCCAATTCCATTCTTTTCAACCATCGTTCTTTTCAACCGTCGGTTTCCCCTGGGGTGCTTGATGGTTTCCTGAAAAGAAGGATCCCTGGAAAGAATGGAAATGGAAGGTACCCCTAGAAATGCACCAGCATCACCTCTGCCTTCACAGCGGGGGGTTCCATCCACCTACGATTCACGCCGTCCGCGCTAGGGATCTGATGCACCATGCCCCGGGAAAAAAGCGCGCATGCCCTCTCCTGCATGAGCAGCTGACGAATTCCATCTCGCCGTCTGCAATGCCAAAACTGGTCCGATCTGATCTCATGCTGGACTCCCTCGACTCGTTTACAACAAATTGAAGCAAGTCAGCGGGCGATCATCTCGCGTAGCGACTTCTGCTTAAATCGTACGCCTTTTCAGTGCACAGTGGGCCATGTACAGCGCGTGAACTGTGCTTTGGCAGCTCGCAGCTTCTGGACTCGTTTTAGACTCAATTGGGACTCGATTGCATTTTGCGCGCCCCACCAAAAGGAAGCCGGCGGCATGCGCAAGAAGCCTCTGCATCACGGCGATCTCGTTTCATCGAACGTGTTGTATCGCTTTCTTCGACACGATCCCTTTCTGGTCATCTTAATTTGCGGGGACCATTCGTTCACAGCGAAATCGCAACCTTTCAGCTTGTTTTGACCGTATCAGTAGCACAATCAGTTGTCGGATAATTGGTCGGTCGCTCACATGAGCTGTTGAGAGTAGAAGCACACTTTTGCCGCTCCAAATCGCCGTCTGGACCTGGAACGATGTCCATCTTAACATCCTTTTGGATGGCAAGAGTTGAATACGATTCATCAAGCCCTTTGGGCTGGAATGTCGCACAGTCTGAGGTACAAGCTTCTTTCGCAAGGCTCAGTGGAAAAGCTAAAGCTGAGCCTGCCAGCCACGGGGACTCATTGCGACGGTTTAAATTGTCGTCTGCCTTATATCATCTCGGATCCTGCTCTTCAGGACCAGGGGCCGGCTACTTGCTCAGAATTTTTAGCGCCTTTTCTCCCATCAGCTGGCCGTATCTCTCAGCTTCTGCCTTATCCTCCGGGGAGATGTCTTGGTAGCTCGCGTTGGGGGTATCCTCCTTGCAGTAGGCAGCAAGGCACCGGGAGATGCCCACGCAGGAGCAGTTGAACTCCCCGACGATCCACTTCTCGTCCTCCGCACTGGTGCCTTCGGGCCAAGTTAAGCTTGAGTCAGTCCCATTTCAGACATTGATTTAGTTTTTGTAATCAAGCCCAAAAGAAACCGGTGTTATAAAAACCAATTGTTGTTTTTAATATGGCTGTGGGTCAAAAATAGGTTCCCAAAATGGAACCCTGGTAAATGGAAACATGGACTAAAACCTGCGGTCCCCTGGTGATTTAATTTTGACCGATGCTGATACTATAATATAAAAAAAAAAAAAAACCATCTGGGAGCCACCCCCTGGCAAGCTTTTGGCCCCTCTCAGGGACAACGGCTCGCGAAAAGCGAAGGTGCCCGCCTTCCGGGGAGGAGTTAATGAAGTCGGTGGTCCACCATAGCGGCACTGGCTCCTCGGGAAGATCCAAGGCCGGCATCACCAGGGGCAGGTCCTCGGAACTGCCCGCAAGACCCAAGAGAAAAGAAGCCCCCGGCTTCGAATTCGAAGCCTCAGGACCACAGGTAGTCGAGGTTTCTTAAAATCTGCAAAATGGAAAATGCCAAAAACATCAAAAATGTGTTCCCTTGCTAACCTGGGGTAGGGCAATGCATGCAGCACAGTCCTTGTTCAGGAAATTGTTGGTCAATGAGGAAAACTTTGCCTCCTCTGGACCATAGTAAGTGTACACAGAGCCGGTACCTCCGACAGCTGAAATGCCACCCTCCTTGGGCTTCTTGTGGATGATCCCCACCAAGGCGTCCACGATCAAATTGTATCGAAGCTCGCCTGAAGCTAAGGAAACCGCGGTCCGTATCGTCTTGGCTCCAAGGTATCCTCAAAAATTATCCACTCTAAATTGTGGCTTCAGGGGAACCAATGCAGGACCCTTCATCTGCCAAGCCATCGAAACCACCTCGTGTTGAAAAAACAAAAAACAAAAACACTTGTGGCTTTCCCCTTGGTGTCCCTTTGAACCAACCTAAACCTACCAAGGTATACCCTCAAAACCCCTCAAAACCCCTCCTTCCCGCTGAAAACACCCCCCCCCCCCCGGTGCGCCTTCGACAATGCGGGGGCAAAAGCGCTGGTCCACCAGCTGCCCGCCCGCGGCTTTGCCGCCCTCCAGGTACTTCCCCACGCCCTTGGAGCTCCACAAACCCGACTTGGCCGTGCGCCCGAAGGCGCAGAACTCCAGGAACTCCGCCACCGTGTGCTCCTGAGGTTCCGCAGAAAAAGTGGGTGAAAAAAGTGGGGGAATAAAAAAGTCGGAGAAGAAAAAAAAAGAAAAGATAGCCCAGTTGCTGCTTTTTTCAGTCACTGTTGCTGGTTTTCGGGGTGAAGTGCATGGAACAAAAAGCAGCACCTCGCGATCCAGGAAAAAAGTGTCCGACCCCAAAGTGAGAAACCAGCCATTGTCCTGAAAACAAAGGTTCCGAATAGGAAGCCAACCTGCAGTCTGGAAGTGCAAGGCTCCCAATTCCCTCCGCTTCTTGCTTGATGAAAGAAACCGAGCTCCGAGCCCGAACTGGGAAACCGGAACTGTGCTGCCAAACAAGTGTTGCGGACGAAATCTACACCTTGACAACAGGTTTGCCTCCATCTACTAAGTGCTCAATCTGGAAGTGCAAAGCTCCCTATTCCCCTGTTTTTGGTTGGTACCATAGATGCCTTTTTCGGTTTGTCTGGTTGGAAATAGATAGCACTGGTTTAGAATGGTTTGTATTCCCTTTCCCAGGGAACCCATCTATTGTACTAAAAGGTCACCAATGCTTGGTCCGGTCTCCTCCTCATGGTTGTCATTGGCCTCCATAAGGCTCAACACCTCCGTATCCTCCACACAGCGCTGGCCGTACTCCGCGCAGTACTTGGAGTCCTTCAGCTTGACGATCCAGATGCCCTCGCCTGAGGAGCCCCGGTTCTGCTTGATGACGCGGGGCTGGAAGGCCATGGTCTTCTTAAACCCCGCAGCAAACTCCTCGGCACTGTAATACGCCAGGGTGTCCGGCAGGCCAATGCTCATGTGCGCCACCTTGCACAAAGCGTCCTGCAGCCACTTTCAACTTTCACCTCTTCGGACAAAAGGGGGGGGGGGAGGCACTTTCCAAGTCTAGCCTTTGTCCAACCTTTGGGGGCACACGCGAAATGCATTCCTCAAACACCATCAAACATCATGCAATCAAGTTCTCCTTGGCGCCCATCTTCTCCATCACATCAGGAGACGGCCAAACTTGGATGCCCAGTTTCCTGGACTTGAAAGCAATCCAAGACCCACCCCCCCCACTTCTGGGCATTGCCAACCCGGCCTGATGCTGCGCATCCCATCATCGAACTTCTGTTGATCACCTCCATCTGCCTAGCTCAAGCACTCTGCTACCTTTGCGCCTATGGCCAAAACAGGCGTGCCACGGTTCTTTGAACAAGAGTGGGCTCAACATGGACTCTGCACATGTTCCATCGGGGAAAAATGCTGCAAGAAGGACAAGAACGGGGAATGCCCGCGCCTTGATCTGGCCCGGGTTACATCTGACGATGATAAAATTGAACTTTTTGCAAAGCTCAAAGAATTTGTCGTGCTCCTCGTGCGTATAGTGAATGAGCTGGCCTCAGTGACTCAGCCACTGACCAAATCACAGCAGTACAATGCATTACATCATGAATAAGGAAGAATGGGTGAGCGAGCGAATTGAGCTGTGCGAGGCGATCCACAATCGACTTGCAACACACACACACACACAAACACACAAGCCAAACCATCACGTACTGTATGAACTGTTTGCCATAATGTGGGCAAGCTATGGTGAGAGAGTCGGGTCATTGAACGTTGTCTTGTATTGTGGCTGCCCTTTTGTCGTTCTCACTGCAGTTCAACGGTGATGCTCAGGACAAAGCACATGGTAGTGTTTCTGCGGTTTTGGCACCACTATATACATGAGAATGAAAATCATGGTCAGGCAAAGGTGAAATCGTGACGAGTAAAGTACTAGTAGTGAATACTTGTCCAGGATCGTTCCGGGAAGATAGCACTGACCCGACTGTACAGCGTGGATCTGAGACAAAGTCCCAAGCGCGTCTCTGCCCGTGCGCTTGGTGCGCGTGGTTTATGTGCGCTTGCATTGCGCGTGAATGCACATGTAAGCAAGATGGTGCATGCACAATCGGACCAGTTGTGTGTGTGTGTGGTGTGTGTGTGTGTGTGTGTGTGTGTGTGTGTGTGTGTGTGTGTGTGTGTGTGTGTGTGTGTGTGTGTGTGTGTGTGTGTGTGTGTGTGTGTGTGTGTGTGTGTGTGTGTGTGTGTGTGTGTGTGTGTGTGTGTGTGTGTGTGTGTGTGTGTGTGTGTGTGTGTGTGTGTGTGTGTGTGTGTGTGTGTGTGTGTGTGTGTGTGTGTGTGTGTGTGTGTGTGTGTGTGTGTGTGTGTGTGTGTGTGTGTGTGTGTGTGTGTGTGTGTGTGTGTGTGTGTGTGTGTGTGTGTGTGTGTGTGTGTGTGTGTGTGTGTGTGTGTGTGTGTGTGTGTGTGTGTGTGTGTGTGTGTGTGTGTGTGTGTGTGTGTGTGTGTGTGTGTGTGTGTGTGTGTGTGTGTGTGTGTGTGTGTGTGTGTGTGTGTGTGTGTGTGTGTGTGTGTGTGTGTGTGTGTGTGTGTGTGTGTGTGTGTGTGTGTGTGTGTGTGTGTGTGTGTGTGTGTGTGTGTGTGTGTGTGTGTGTGTGTGTGTGTGTGTGTGTGTGTGTGTGTGTGTGTGTGTGTGTGTGTGTGTGTGTGTGTGTGTGTGTGTGTGTGTGTGTGTGTGTGTGTGTGTGTGTGTGTGTGTGTGTGTGTGTGTGTGTGTGTGTGTGTGTGTGTGTGTGTGTGTGTGTGTGTGTGTGTGTGTGTGTGTGTGTGTGTGTGTGTGTGTCTGTGTGTGTGTGGTGTGTGGTGTGTGTGTGTGTGTGTGGTGTGGTGTGTGGTGGTGTGGGTGGTGGCGTGGCAGGTGGTGGTGGCAGGTGGTGGCAGGTGGTGGCAGGCAGGCAGGTGTGTGGTGGTGACGTGGTGTGTGAAGACAATATTAAGACAGGCTAAGACAGACAGATGACAGACTGTGGACAAGACAAGACAAGTATTTGCTTGGTGACAAGACATATGAGGAACCGTGAGACAGGATGGATGGATCCAGGTGGTGTGTGGAGGCCGAGGACGGTGGGACGACGTGGGGGACAGACGTGGAGCGAGACAGGGAGGACGGACGGATGGACGGACATGACGCAGAGGCATGACCAGGACGGACGGATGGATGGACATGATGACAGGACTGCACATGACATGCTACGCATACAAGTGACAAGCATAGATACATACATACATATACATACATATATAATACATTACATACATACATATATTACAAGACATATGACATACATACAGACATACATGATTTAGATTATTTAATATTTATTAGATAATATTTAATATGGGACGGGACGATGACGACGAGGACGACGATGATGTAATAACATCATTTGATGACGACGACGGACGACGGACGGACGATACTAATATGGACGTGAGATGATGACGACGGATGTTGTCGGACGATGACGACGTTGTCACGGACGGATGATTGTTTGGACTGCCGGATGACGGATGACGACGACGTTGTCGATCAAACACGTTATCGAGCTATCGCCACGTCATTTGGATGGATCACGGACGGACGGACGGATCGCGGACGGATGGACGGACGGACGGACGGACGGATTTGACGTGACGTGATGGACGGACGGACGATCGACATTTTCGACGATGGACGACGGACGACGAATGCATCGGATGCTCACCGGATTGACGGACGGACGGACGGACGGACGGATCATCTTACCCGGATCTGGACGATTTATTTGACGGATTGACGACGTGACGGATCGATTTTACGGATCGGCGGATGGTATTTACCCATTTAGTAGCTGCGATACGGATTTACTCATCGCATTAACATCACTTTAACGCACCATCATCATCATCTGATGACGTATTTTAATACCAATATCATAATATCGCGCGCATGTCTGTCTTATCACTAGCGTACTGTACCAACATCGACCATCATCATCGTACGTGATTATACGTCAGGCAATCATCTTAGTATATATGGATTATCACCACATTTGATTTGGCATAACGACCAACATGAATATTTATCGATATATACATACATATCATTAATATCAATACAAGTACAACAATACACAACACGCCACCGCCGTAGGTACACAACCACGTTGTGACGACGTACCAACACACACGTTAATACGTTGGTCGATCATCATACGTAAGGCACGTTACGCAAATTAAGCGTTGTACGTTATTATTGTTAAGGCAGGCGCAAAAGAGGCAGAAACGTCACAGGCACATGGTTAGAAAGGGCAGGTGGGCAGGCAAAGCAATAAGTACAAGGCCATAAGGTCAGGTGAAAGGCAAAGGCAGGCCAGAAACATGGCAAAGTCGCATATGGCGACATATACATAGCTGGGTATACAGGCGCTATGATAGCTCACATGCTGCGGCGTGCGTGCGTGCGCATATATATATGCGTGGTATGTATACAAGTGGTGAAGTATATATGTATGTATGCAGTAAAAAGGTAGGTAAAGGGCATGATGCAAGTATGTATGTGATGCGTGGCATATGTATGTGCGTGTGTGTGTGTGTGTGTGTGTGTGGGTATATGTTATGTATATAAGGTAAGGCATGTATGTGATGGGCACAGGCATGTATGTGGGTGTGGTGGTGGGTGGTGTGTGTGTGTATACAGGCCAGGCCAGGCCAGGCCAGGCCAGGCCAGGCCAGAAGCCAGGCCAGGCCAGGCCAGGCCAGGCCAGAAGAAGCCAGAAGGCCAGGCCAGGCCAGGCCAGGTTGTGGCCAGGCCAGGCCAGGCCAGGCCAGGCCAGGCCAGGCCAGGCCAGGCTGGCTGAAGTTGGCTGCCAGGCCAGGCCAGGCCTGTGTTGTCAGGGTGCGAGGCTGTCGTAAAGGCGCTGATAAGTGCCTCGCGGTGGCAAGGCATGCGTGCATGCGTGCGTGCGTGCGTGCGTGCGTGCGTGCGTGGGTGGGTGGGTGGGTGGGTGTGTGTGTGTGTGTGTGTGTCCGTGCGCGTTTGAATGCGTGTTTGCGTTCAATATGAGTTGCATGATCGTGTGGCTGCGCCTTTTGCGACTGCCTGCGGCCCTGCACGATTCTGTATGATTTTGTAGTGACTCTGCAGCTCTGTGACCTGCGAGTCAATGACTCATGACTCTGTTAGTTTGTATCTGTGTGATCGTGAGCGCCTGCATGATCCTGTGTCTGCGTCTGTCTGTGCTGGCCTGTGTCCGTCCGTGCCCGTCTACAATGTCTCTCTGCCTGTCTCTCTACCTCTCTCTCTCTCTCCCTCTCTTCTCTCTCTCTCTCTCTCGCTCTCTCTCACTCTCTCTATCTGCCTCTGTCTGTCCGTCCGTCGCTGCTTGAGTGTCTCTCCTTCTCTGTACCTCAATGTTTCCGTGATTGGCAACGTGACTGCTTGCAGGAGTTTATGGACCTCCGCTGGGAACAGCTGTGCATTGATGATGTTGTGCACTCTGAGGCCTGCTGTCTGCACGTGTCCGCGCTTCGTCAGCTCATCACTTTAGGCAGCTCCAATCTCTTTAGTCCCATGCAAGCGCACTACGCAAAGAACATGTTGGCGGCTCCAGCCGCAAACATGTGTGCAATATCTTTATGCAAAATGAAGGTCGTTCGTTATTCGGACATCCAGAAGTTCTGCTGGTTAACACGACATAAACATTGTATGTGAGCAATGCATGTTCTATCTCATGAGTACCTGATGTTCACAACAGCAAACATTGCCAAGTGGCAGCTCATGCCGGCATCAATCATGCCATTCGCAAAGGGCACGGAGTCATACCGGTGTCCATTGGAGCTTTTGTCTGATCCTCCAAACCTAAGCTTTGGGTGCCCGTGCCCGACGCCCGAGGTCAGATAAGCCCTACTCCCTCCAAACAAACCATCGCTCATTGCCCACTTTATGCGAAGCGTGCCAGTCCCAACCAAAGCTTCTCAAGCTCACAACTTGCTGGTGCTCAGTAGGGAAAATGAAACAACCCAAAAAAAAAACGATCCTCCCCGATTTGGTTTCCTTTCAGGGAACCCATAAACGGTTCATTCCAACTCATTCCCTACCGATTTCGCCCAGGAAGACAAAGTCATACCCAGGTTTCTCTTTTCGCGTGTCTCCCCGCGTCAAAAACGGCGCACACAGAACATGTTCCGGCCGCAAAAACCATCCCCTATGTTTCCTTTCAGGGAACCCCCAAACGGTTCATTCCAACTCATTCCCTACCGATTTCGCACCAGCAAGCTAAACCCGCACGGCAAAAATGTTCCCGGCCGCGCCGCGGCGCGGAGCGCACGAAGATCTGGGCCAGCGCCCCGGCGAACTTCGGCCGCGCCGGCTGGGGCTTCAAGCCTCGTCCCGGAGGCGCCGCGAGCCACAAGGGGCGGGGCGCAGGGACCGACCGCTTGGAGGGAAAAGTTTGAAACGCGGTGGAGAAGCGAAGGACTCTCCTGGCCATGGGTCAAAATCCATTACCCCCAGTGAACATCCCAATCCAACCACTAAAATAGGTTCGAAAATGGGTGGTGAATTCACCTACCCCAAAATGGTACCATTGGTTTTGACCCACAGCCTCCTGACTATACCAGAACCAAGCGCTGGGAGAAGATGCCAACAATGGCTAGCAGGGCGTGCGTTGCATTGTGCCGGGAAAAACGCATCCTGACTTTCACCCCACTGTATCACTCTTGGAAAAACCCCCCAAAACATCGGCATCCTTTTCCTTTGTCCACAGTACGGATTGTTTCATAGGAACTCCTCGACGTGATCAAAACCGATCGACACCGACCATCCCCAGATGGCCATGGGTCAAACCCCAAATCGTACCCCCAGTAAACATCCCAATCCAGCCACTAAAATAGGTTCTAGCATGAGTGGTGAATTCACCTACCAACCCCCAAAATGGGATTCCATTGGTGTTGACAACCACAGCCATTTCTGGCTGGGAGTGTCCCTTAACCTCCATCTACCCGAATCGGTTTTTGGGATCCAAAACGGCTTTGACCCATCTCCCGATGTCTCCCGGCCCAGAGAGGCGTCCGGCCTAGGGCATCCTTGGCAACTACTGTGATACCGCTGCAGTCCACCGGACCGGCAGCGACGTCGCCTGCATCCGCTTGAAACCCATTTTGGTCCTACCATTTGTTCGGGCTTTATAGGCATCACCGTGACCAAAAAAACAAAACTGATAGGAAAACCACCTACTAAATTTGGCCAATGCAGGTTTTGGGCGCTGCTTGAAATGGATTCTAACCGATAAATTCTAGCATGCTACATACATGATTGTCATGTTCAAGCTGGAATCTGTTAAAAACTCTGAAGCTTGGAGAAATAATTGGATTACTGGTCCATCTCGGAACATCTCTGCGACTGAATCCACAAATTCATGCATGCTTTGGTTGATCCGATGGATTCCAAGTTGGGGCCACAGCATGGCCCAATCTGCGTTCTGATTGGTGCCGGTGTTCAGGGCCTCGGATTTGACGATTCGGGCTCCCCATGTGAACCTCCCATTGCACCGCCTCTAGGCATTGCCGCCAACACCTTTTGCAGCTTGGCTCGGTCGCCGGGTGGAAGGTCCTGCCGGGCATATAGCTAAAACGCCAGTGAGCTAAGATCACACCAAGGATTAACATCTTGTGACAAAAGCAGATATAGCTTCACACCAGACGGAGCGCGCCCTGATAAGCAACTTCCAATGTACAGTATCTGGAATGGCCAACCCCCCTCGAAACTGCCCCAGTGTAAAAATGATTGGCAAGCATGGGAACAAACCACAGGGGCCAAAGAAACATTTGAAGGGCAGTTCATGCTGACAGAGTGAGAGGTCATCTTTGTGGGGATTGTACTCACAAAATGCGAGTAATTGAGCCCCCAGGAACAAAGAATTCGTGATCATGGGTGCACGGATGTGCACGTTTGTTTTCAAGCAATCCATATCCAATCAGGAAACCATGATCGATGCCATCGAACACCCCAACTGTCCAGCTCAGAGCTGGCCGGCCGAACACGCGCCATCCGCTTCCGCTCTCCCGCCTTCAGTGTCGCTCTCAAATCATCGGGCGACGCTTGCTGCACCGCTGACTCAAGGGCCGTGGAAGCACCTGCGAGCCCACAAGACCACGAGGGCCTTTCGATTTCCGCAAAGCTCCCAGCTTTTCTTAGAAGATCCGGTTCTAGTCCTTGCACCACAAACATTCCTCCGACTTTGGCTGAGTCAAAGACCCCTTCCATTTCGCAAACCTCCAGCTTTAGAACATCCGGTTCCAGTTCTTGTACCCCAAATCTTCCTCTCCGACTTCGGTCGCAGAGTCAAAGACCCCTTCTTCAAGAACTGAACATTTCTGCGGCACCTGCTCCCATGCTGCGCGCTCTGGCACCGCAAGCTGGAGCCAAGTGACTTGCGGAGCCTCCGGCATCAAAGCTCAATCTTTCCGATGGGTGTCTGCTTGAGGGTGTTAGCACCAAATTGAAAGGGGTTCCAAAACCCTGTTTTGGCACATACACGCTTCCTGCGCGAAGGCACGAACGGATACCAACAGCCGCGAGCTGCTGCAAGTTTCGAGTGGTCGCAACAAAGTTGAGAAAAAAAAACTCAGTAGCCTCTGGCCGCAACGAAGGATTCTACCGGCTTCCAGGCCCCCACCCAAACCGGCAAGGAACAAAGGCATGAGGCGCAGTCTTTCGAGAGCTTACACCGAGGTCTGGGGACTCAAAGTCCACCTCTGCCAGGTGATGGCACAGCTTTCATGCACCCGTTCCACGTGGTTGCATGCGTAGGTGCAACCATATGAATACAAGGCATGAATGCTATGCCAACTGGGGCAGGACATACAAATATAAGCTGAATGATCTCTCAGCTTGCGCTGAGTGAGGAAGCAACCTGCGGCCCGAATGTACATGACTGTGCGTGATGTTCTTGGAGTATGCGTCGTGAATCGATGGCCCGCAGATTCCCCCGAGATACGATACTGTAGCGACAGGCAACTCGCCTGTGTACAAGTTAAAAGTATGTGGGAACCTATTTACATGTCTAAGCCTGCAAAAGCTCTCAGCACCTTGCGCAATCGTGCCCCATGTTCCCCCTGGCAGAACCTGCTCACCCCCAGCGATCTCCAATGCCGAATTCAGCCAACGGCCCCTTGGCGCCGAAAAAACGAGACCCTGGTATGTCTTTGTATGGGCCAAAGCAAGCGACAAGTCTTCCATGAAGGGTGTACGTGAAATCATGTTGATTGAGTCGGCCTCATGTTTCGCCTGGCAAGGGTCCTTGCCATGCACGGCCAAAGTCAACGAGAAATATCACGTTCGACATGTTCTGTTGGGGTTGGGATTTGGCACGGTCCGAAAAAGGAGCCACAAACCAACGCCAATGGGCCCCGAGATTGTCGCGACTTTGGTGTTGCGAAGCTTTGCCCGAACTCACGCATCACAACGCGAAAGCCCGACAACGGTACTAAAACAAAATCAAGAGAGACCGAGTGTGGAAAAACGGATGGGGGACCATGAAAACTGATACCCTGGCAATGTAGCTCATTGCTCCTCTGAGCGCTGGACACTCTTCCTTGTCCCACGCGAGGACATCAAACATGTGGTCTTGGGAAATTTGTGCCTCTGCCCCAAGCCAGGGGGCTGCCAATGCTGTTGTCAATGAGATGTGTGCATATATAGATATATAACAATATGCGAGAACCCCAAACTGGTGGTCTCCCTGTTGAACTCCCTTTAAGCCACGCCTCAAAACGGCAACCTGAAACGCCTCAAAATCAAAAACGCGCCACAAATCGTCTCGGCCCGCAGGCCAGGCGGTCAGATGTTTAGATCATCTTCCCAAAACTCAGCAAGCCCTCGCGCCTGCCTTGGCCTGCTGGGTTGGAGGCCCAGATCGCCCGGCAAAAAGCGGCAAACCGCGCCATTTCACCCGCCGCTTTGCAAAGCTGACCACGAGTCGGAAGTGGGCTGCCTGTCCGGGTCGAGCGGTCAGAGGGATCTTCGCAAACCTCATCCGGCTGGCCCTGCCGGAGGCTTACACCCGCCTTGGCCAGCCACCGCCGCCGGAGCTCAAGTTCTCCGGCGGCGGAGTTCTTGGCGCTCAATTCGCCATCCGTGGGGGGGTTGACTTCTCATGAACACGCGCTGGTATGCGACAAACAATGCGCCTTGCGTTGAAGGAGCTGGGCCGAAACGCCATCCCTTCAAAGCAAGCCGAAACCGCAGAAAATCCGGCTGATGCCGGCCGAGGTGGACAGGCGAAGCCTTTACAATGAACCTCAAAAACGTGCGTGCGCGTGTGTGTGTATACAGTATATATATATATATATATATGTATATACATATATGCATGTATATATATATATACATTATAATATATATATATATATATATTTATATATATATATTATACACACTGATGTATTCATTTCTTAATTTATTTAAAGGAAGCACAAGGAGTCCCGCCCTTTGAGCCCGGGCGCCAGGCCCGGATCTCAGGAGTCCCGGAACTTCTCGCCGGCCTAAGCGCGGGCGTCACGGTAGACAATCACTTCAGAACACTAAAAAAAATCACTTGTGAACGCTGCCACTTTCGATCACTTCCGAACACTAAAACAAAATCACTTCAAAACACTGAGCACCCGGAACGCCGAAAGGGTTGCAAAACCCGGCCAGTCAAAAAGATCACTTCCGAACGCAGGCGTCCCAGCCCAGGATCACTTCCGTACGCAGGCAGGCGTCCCAGCCCAGGTGTGCAAATCTAGTGGTTCTGGGGGGGGTGGGGGGGGGGGGTGATAAGCACACCCGCTGAAGCTCTACACCCAAATGTGCAAATTCATCTGGTTCTGGGGGTGGGGGGTGGGGTGGACGACCCCCGCATCGCCCGCGCGGTGCACCAGGGCGGCTACGCGGACGTGCTGCTGCGCCCCACCATGGTGGGCATCCTGCGCTGCGGCAAGATGCTGCCGCCGCAGCTGAACCTGGTGATAGAAATTGAGTTCGCGGACGCGACGACTGCGCTGTGGTCCGAGAACGCCGGCGCGCACCCGTCGGGCGCCACGCTGAGCACCGACTTTGAAATCCAGAACGTCCGAGTTCTGGCCTCCCAGGTCGTCCTGGACTCTGCGCTGGTAGAAGCACACCCGTTGAAGCTCTATCCTCAAATGTGCAAATTAATCTGGTTCTGGGGGTGGGGGGTGGGGTGGGGGGGGGAATGATAAGCACACCCGCTGAAGCTCTATACCCAACTGTGCAAATTCATCTGGTTCTGAAGGGTGGGGGGTGGGGTGGGGGGGGGGGGCATGATAAGCACACCCGCTGAAGCTCTATACCCAAATGTGCAAATTCATCTGGTTCTGGGGGTGGGGGGTGGGGTGGGGGGGGGTGTCTCGGTGCTGCGCGTGGCACGTGGCTCCACTTCCAGCGTTCCGAAGCGATTAGTACGTTTTCCGGCGTTCCGAAGCGATTTTGTTTCAGCGTTCTGAAGCGATGGTTTTGCCAGCGTTCAGGAGCGACGCACTTACCCTTCCGAAGGATGGGGAGTGGGGGGGGGAGATCTCGGCTCTGGACATGGACGTGTCAAGGGGATTCTGGACCCCAATCACCCGCATGAAAAGATTCACCCCATGTTCAATAGGAACACAGTTGACCCGATGCCTTTGGGCAGTTTGAAACTGAAATGGACTGTGAAAGGGCAGTTGAGCAAAAGGCGCAACTGCCCTTTGTGGGGAATTAAATGCGAGCCTTGGTTCAAATTGCCTCAAAGGGTCCGAAGGATCCAAAGGCGAGCGCGGTCCCTTGGTTCCCAGCTGCCCAGCTGAGGCCCAAGACATAGGAGGCTCTTCGGCCCAAGTACTCTTCAATGCGCAGCAGCTGGTTGTACCTTGGCTGCCACATTCCCAAAAACGCTCTGCTGACGACGCTGTCTTTGTCAGTGCCGTTCCCTAAAGGGACCCCCAAAGAATGGCATGTGCCGTTCCCTACTATAAGGGACCCCTAAAGAATCCAACAATGGAATTTCCTGTTGGTTCCGCTGGACCAATCCAAAGGGTGCTGCTGTACCCCACATGTTCGAGGCTCTCAGGTCCGGGCTTTGCAACTCGTTCCGAACGGCACGGGGCGCCCGTCCTTGAAACATCGACCGCAGGCGCCCGACGCAAACGTCGGGAAATGAACCCTACGCCTCTGGCTTGTAAGAAGCGTTCGGGCAAACAAGAAGAAGAAGAAGGAACCACCCCTCTGCCAAAGCCCAAAGAATCATAAAAGCAACCATTTACCATTTATGAAACTGGTCAATAGCGTTCCTTCTCTGTCGCAAGTGATCTTCTTCGATTGAGACTTGTATATGTTGAACTGGTAGTTTGAGTTTCTGTTTAGTATAAAGGCCTGACTTGAATAACGAGCGAACCATCTGGGCAAGGTTGCCTGTGTTACACTCGCCGATCTTTGAGCGACTTGTGGCAAGTGAACATTAATTCACCTTGGACACTTGGTGAATACAAGAAAATGGGCTCTCCATATCTCTCCATGAAAGTACTTCCGCTTTAAGAGCGTCACATCCACATCGCTTGGCAAAGGACGGTTCGCCGTTTCGACGTCCAACTCACGGCTCCGAAGCTCCGAAGCCCGAGGCGATGACTTGATCTGCCCTGTGCTCAGTCCCACTGCCAAGTCCGCCTGCAGTCGAGTCGAAACGTGAAGCTGCGCGATTTGTCATCCCAAGTAATCCAAGCAGTCCAAGTAGTCCAAGTAATTAATCCAAGTGATCCAAGAAATCCAATGTCTCTGCAGATTCATTCCATTTTCTGACCCGCAAGTGGCATTCTTTTCTCACTGGCATTGCTGCGTCGCTTGCTGAAAAGTCCAAGGCTCAGGCAATGAAGGTATCCTCAGTCTCACCACTCCGATGAGAGACCTTGGCAATACAAGACCCCGTCCACAGCTTGAAGAAGGTTCCGCTCTGCTGAAGCTAGCCACCCAGAGCATGTTTTTGCTGTTAAAAAAAAAAAAAAACGACTCCAGACTATACGGGGCCCGAGCCATGACGCCCCAGCCAGCAGTCACGCTGTCCTGGTAGGCGGTGATGGCTTCGGTGATGCTCCCAATCTGATTGATCTTCAGGAGCAGCGCATTGGCAGCCTGGAAGCAGCGGAAGCTGTTGACCCCCCTGCAAAATGTTTAAAACTTTTCGGGGGTTTAGTGGAAAACCCCTTGATTTCAACCAAAAAGTTGAAGTCTAGAGATCCAACCCAACAGCAGTGAGCCAGCCAGCGACGAAACGGACAGGCGACATGCTCGCTTCACATGCGCCAGGAATCACTTGGCTGTGGCTCAAAAAAACGGTACCCAAAATGGAACCCTGGTAAGTGGAAACATAGACCAGACCCTGCGTAACCCCTCCTGTTTAATTTTGAGCCACAGCCTCCTAGCAATTGTTGGGCCAACCTGCCTTGTGCTCCTCGGCATAGAGGATCCTCTTGGGATTGGTGACAAGCCTCAGCTGGGTGCATGTCACTGGCGTGCACTGCCCAAAGAGAGGTAGCAACAAGCATCAGCGAGGGTCACAGCCAGAGGGTGTTCACTGCCCCCAAACTTTTATCCCCAAGCGAAAATGATGGATTCCCCGTGTATATATATATATGTATATATATATATGTGTATATGTGTATATATATATATATATGGCCATGGGTCAAAATCCAAATCGTACCACCAGTAAACATCCCAATCCCCACAAAAATAGGCTCTAAAACGTTCTAAAATGGGTGGTGAATGCACCTACCAACCAAAATGGGACCCCAAAACGGTTCTGACCCACAGCCATATATATTTTTATATGTATTCTACTCTCTCACCAATTTACGTGAAACCTGACTCTTTTCGGCAAGTCACAGGTCATCTCCGACCACCTGCACGCTCTTTCCCATTTCCTGTCGACAGCTGCCATACATGGGGGGGAGGTCTTGTCTCTCTTGGGGGGGGGACCTAAACGGATGGTTGCCCTTTATGTTTCCAGAAACCACAAAAGAGATACCTACAAAAAAGAAAACACGCACGCACATGCGCACCCGCATGTTTTCATGCAAAGCATCGGCAGAATCCACATCCAAGTTCCATTCATGGCTCCTTCGAATTGGATGTTGCGTTAGGTTTGCAAGGTCGGACCTAGGTTCTAAATAGTGAAGGTGTGGACCGGAATCATCCCGCACAAAGCATGAAGGCGTTCGCGCCTCCACCATACTGCTATATGCCTCCCAGTCGTCCTGGAGGTTTCTTCCCCAGTCCGGTGTTGATAACGTGTGGCCGGAAAACCAGGACGTGCTTCTTCTCTGGGTTGCCGCTTCATATGGGAGTGGCTCAAAATTAAGCAGGAGGGGTTATGCAGGTTTTGGTCCATATTTCCACTAACCAGGGTTCCATTTTGGGTACCGCTTTTTTGAGCCACAGCCAGATTTCTGATTGCATTAAGGCGTTGCACCCATCTTGCCTCACCAGTCACCAGTCCTGATCGAAGGGGTCTTCGATGGACACCACCGGGAATCTGAGCAAACTCAGACTGGCACACTTGCACAGTTCAGGAGAACGAGCAAAGCCTCGAAGTGACATCTTTGTAGAAAGCCACCATCTCCTCTTTGCTCTTTATCAAGGACGGATCAGGATTGTCTACCTGCAATCCACAACAAATGTAAAGGCAAACTCACAGAGCAAGGACAACGCGTAGGCATGATGCGCTAAACATTCAGAAGCCAAGAGTTGGACCCTCTGTTTGCTTCAGTCTCTCTGCAGCCAACAAGAAGCCAAACACCCAGGCCTTAAAGCCCAGATTGTAGGTCTTGTCCTCAGCTTCGTGCAGTCAACATTGTGCTGCATGCTTCCAAGCATGCCGCCCGTCAGTCTGCCGCGCTTCCTATGACTTCCTGAGAAAGCTGACCTGCTTGTTGTAGAACTCAGAGGCAGCAATGTCCATGGCAAGCTTGACCTGGCTGAAGCGGCTCTTTTCAATCGTTGGCTCAGCTCGAGAGATGCCAAATATGGCTGTTTCTCAAAATTTCTCAAAACTAGGGGACGAATCTGAAGGCTGGTTTGCTTTTGGTTTCCCTTTGAGACCACCCAAAAAGGGGGCCACCATTTTGAGAAACCCCCATATGGCAACAGCGGTTACAAACAACTAAACCTGGCAATTCTGCGGAAGTGTCAAGAAGTCTGGTTTCTTGATGCTGCTCGAGATTAAAAGTCAACAGCTGAACGGGCCGTCTAACTTTGGACACTCTCGGCACGAGCCCGCCTTGCCAGTGGCGCCAGCATCCTTGATGGCATCCATCAGGTCCTGCAAGGCCTCATCGTTCTCCTAGCACGCGTGCGGCAAGGAGCGCTCGCAAAAAATCCATTTACAAGAATCAATAAAACAAAATTAGGATTTAGACAAATGCTGATTTACGTAGCAGGTTGTCAACTTGGATATATACACCAACCGAATCAGACTTAAATAATGATGAACATAGTTGTATTAGATATAAACCAAAGGCATGGAAAGCGCCATATAACATGCCTCACATTGGGGCTGGTCTCAAAAGCAAAAGCAAAACCAGAAGCAATTAGGGTTTCATTTTGTGATTGTGAGCACACACAGAGCCCACACCCGCTTCCGGCCGCTCCTGAATGTTTGGAGCGAAGCCGCCTGCGGCGCAGGTCGCGGGAGCTGTGGTTGTCGCCGACACCCCCTCGCCCAGACCGCTGCGGCCTACCCTGAAGCTCAAGTGTTGGGGCTTCATCCGGCTTCATCTGGCCATGGGCCAATGTCCAAATCGTACCCCCAGTGAACATCCCAATCCCCGCTAAAATAGGCGGTGCACCTACCCCAAAATGGTACTGTTGGTTTGACCCACAGCCACCTAGGACCATAGCTCTCGCCCTCCACCCCAGAAGCGCCCTCGCGCCACGCGCCGGTCACGCGGACCAGGGCTTCACCATGCAAGCCAGCTGGACCCTTGGACTTTGGCTGTGTCTCCCTTTCGCCCAGAACGCGGCTGTGGCTGTGGCCCTTGGAAATTCACCGTCCCTTGCCTTGGACTACGGCTTCGGCCGTCCTTCAGTGCCAAGCGGATACTTTCACGCAGCTGATACTTTCACGCATGGGAGGCATGAAGTGGTTTCTTGCCAGCTGCCCAGCTTCCGCCCGCCTGGAACCCTCTAAATCAAATAGGCCCTGGCCGAGGCGGGCGCAAAGTGTGTACAATTCTCCCTGCGGTCCGTGGCCGTTCCTATGAATGCTCTGAGATTGCCCCGGATTTGCTGAATGCGTGAGCTTACCAACAACTATGCAACTTAGCAGCGATTGCTGTCATGTTTGCCTTCTCCAAGGCTTCCATAGCAACAAACTGCGACTCAAGAGGCCTTCATCTCCAACAGCCACGGCATCCTGTCCGTACTTTTCTCTGACCACCGTCTTCAGCGACTGGTAAACCTGCGCCGGGCTCGTAGCTGCAAAGCGGGAGCTGTTGCTCTGCGCAAAGCAAAGGCCGCACCTCAGCGCCAAGCTGAAGCGCCTGGCCGGACGGCCGGCCGGCAGCACTTTACTCGGCTCTCTGGTGAGACGGGGGGCAACCTCTATCCTTAGGGCCCATCTGAGACAAAGGCACGGGCAAAGCTCTAGGGGTAAATTCCAATTCCATTCTGAACCCAGGGATCCAAATCTTTCGAGAAAACCACCAAAAACCCTGGGGAATGGCGATCGGTTTTTGAAAAGAAAGATGGCTGAAAAGAATGGGGAATCAACCCCTAGAAAAGCAAAAAAGGCCAGCCGTGAGCACAAAGCATCACTCAGAAGGTGCGTGGAGAAACAAGGGGGCTGTATGTATCATATGTCAACTCAAAGAGGGAAAACCATTCCATCGTGTCCCAAACCCTGTGCCTCTTTGAAAGACTTGGCGCCAGTGGGGGCGATCATAAACTCCTGACAGCTGCATGTCAGGCAATGTCTGGAAATTGCAACATGGACTCAAGAGCTGTGGGTCAAAAATAGGGTAAGGGAAACAAGGACTAAAACCTGCGGTCCGATTCCTGGCTTAATTTTGACCCATACCCAGTTCTACGCAAAAAGGAAATTCTTTGGCCTTCCGGCTGAACACTCCCTGCCAGTCCTGCATTGGGAGTTTGTTTCCCGCATGTCGGCCGCCGTTGATGACATTCATCATTGGCACCGGCCTCCGAAGCAAAGGCACCACACAAGCCGCCTCTTGACAACTTGCCACACAAAACTGCGAGCCATGTGGCAAGCTCTTTTCAACTAGCCATGGCATTTGCACAACCAGAGCTTTTGTGAGGGCCAGACTTGATGGCATTCTATGAGTTGAACTTGTCCAATCATCGAAACCGCACTCTTGTGTTCAGGCCTATTCCTCTGCCGGCAGACTTATTGGCGTTTAAGACCAAGAATTGTAAGACGCTGGTGCAGAACGACTCGGAAGCAACCATGAGGCTGCGACATCTTGTATGTCCTTCTTCTAGCTCTTTGCACTTCAATACGTGCGACCTGCCAAGTCCGTCGATGCTGACGGCGCTGGGTAGATGTTGGGGCGTCACTCCTGCATCAAGGGCCTGTTGGGTCAGCAAACAGCTGCCAGTCCGATGCTAGAAGGAATGGCATACTCATACTTTTCTTTGCCTGTGTTTGGGTGTTGCATGAACAAACTGTGGCAACCATCATCAAGTCAAGGATCGACCGATGATGCCAACCTCGAATTTGGTCTCTTTCAGCTCGCCGATGTACTCAAAGAGTTGCAAATCTTGGGACGCAATGCGAGTGACTCTCTGCTGGTTACATAGCAGCAAAAGCGCATAAACTCATGGTGCCAATTGGCTTTTGGCTGAGATGACCAGTTTCTGCCACTTGCTGACTTCAGCAATCTTCTGTCAAGGCTTCTAGCCATGTCCATCAGCTCAGCCCCATGCACGGTTTTGACCATTCGGCCACATTCAGGATTGGTTGGAGATTGCTTTAGAATGGGCAAGCTGCTAGCTATGTTCGGTCTAGGACATTGGCTTAGCATTGGTTCGGTTATCATTTTGATTCAGAAAGGGTACCCTCAAAACGAACCACACACTGAGGCACCTGCCAAAAGCATCAGCACCTGCTCTGCAAACAGCCCTGCGCGAGCCGCGCGAGGATCGGCATGCATTGCCTCGCCTGTCTTTCAGATGATTCAGCGTTGCTTTCCATTTCCATTTGCCTAGCTTCCGTTTTCCCCGGATTAATAAACCCCCGGTTGATTAATAGGGAGGTGTCCCCTTTTAGTGGGGATTCATCAATTTTGAAAAGAACACCCCCCTAATAATGGGACGGGTTATTAATCCTGGGTCAGCATTAGCCACCGCAAAACCCAACGCTTTGCCTAGCGCTGCTGAATTGCCGTTTTCATAATCCACCACAAGTCTCAACCTGGTGTGACATGACCTGCCCCGCCCCACAACATTCAACAAGTCATTCAGAGCGCCCAAATTATTGGGCTGACACATGCACGACCGTCCCAAACCTGCCGGAACCTCTTGGACAAACGTGTTAAGACTATGTGGCTTGGGTTTGCTTGGGACATCCGCCGGACTCAAAGGAGAAGAACAAGACAAAGCTCATCTATCAAGTGGCTGGCTCCTACACAAGTCTGATCAGAGCTAGGTGTACTTGCCTCAAGTGATGAAACAATCCTGCTCCTGCACGGTTCCATGGTCTTTCCGAGATGGTTCAAAGCTTGACATTGGCCCAATTGCTCATCCGCAACCAGCCGCCCAAAGTTTAAGTCTACGGTCGGAGGCCATTTGAAAGGGTCTCAAAATCAAAGGACCCCGAAAACCTTGGGTTCCCCTTTGAACCCACCCGAAAAAGGGCTCCTCCGCCCAAAAAAAACCGACAGACCCATTCAGGGTTCCACTTTTTGACTACCCCAGGGTAGACTTAAACCCAGGGGACTCATTCCCCCCCCAAAAGGAGAACCCCTGGGTTAGTCTGTCTTGGGGTAGTCAAAAACTGGAACCATGTAAAGAACTAAGAAGGCGGATATCCGCAGCTATTTATGGTTGGGATTGTCCCTTACTAACCTTCATCTACCCTGGTTTTGATTGTGGGGCTCACGTTGGGTTCCCCTTTGAACCCACCCAAAAACGGGCTCCTCCCCCCCAAAAAAACATGACAGACCCATTCGTCTGATCCCACTAGCACCAGGCTCCAGGCATAGAGACTGCCAGGATGGCGTTGGCGCCTAGCTTCTCCTAGCTATGGGGGGTGTCGTACGCTTTGCGTCAGAACCCCTTTTGTCTAGGCTGGAATTAGGACCCCAGCAAAAATGATCCTTTTTGCCTGGCTAGTGGAAAACAAAGGGAACCCAAGAAAGCAAAAAAAAGGAGCTAATTCTGGGGAAGTTGTGTGGTTTTGAATGGAAAACAATGGAAACAAAATGATCGAATTTTGGGCAAACAGTTTCCGGTGTGTTGGGAAAAGCAAAATGAACTAGGTTGGCTTTTGTCGTTCCCAATTGTGGGCATTTTTTTTCCGGCTTGTTTGTGGTCCAGAAATTGGAACTTCCATGTCCAGGTTTTCAAGAGGATGTATGCACCTGGTGGGGTGTAATTGTCCATGAATCTATTAATCAGAGTCTTAGCAGGCCAGAAGCATTGCCGACTCAGAAAATCTGACTGAGCCTTGTTCATCATGCTGGCAGTGACAAACGCTACCAGCAAACCACAAGGCCTGGAGTCTTCAAAAGCAGAGCTTGAATCAATCTGAGAGGGCGCGTGCGTTGAAAATTGTTCATCACGAGGAAGACCAGCCGTGGCATATGTGCAGCATCCCCGTGCTGTGACCGAGCAGCCAGTCCCAGTCATCCAAATTGCATTTTGTCGAATGCAAGGACCTGTTGAATGATATGCGTCACTTCTCTCGTTCTTTCTGAGGAAGGTCCAGTCGCTGATGTTGCTGTGCTTGGCAACAAACTCTTCGGCAAATATGCTGCCGGGCAAACTAGCAGCCCCATCCATCGGCCAAATCCCTCCGGAACCGGTTCGAGCTCCCCTGAGGAAACTGATCAAATCCCCTCAAATCACTCCTAGAGCCGGTCAACTTCCCATCCAGGCCAGTCAAATCCCCTCGCCCCAGAAGCCAGTCAAATTCCCTACGAATTTGCACCTTCGCTTGGCCCAAGCCCACTGCCATTTTGTAGCTCTCTGCGGCTCTCGTTCTGGCCTTTGAAGCCATGTGGAAACACGCGGACATGCACGCACCCTCTAGCTTGGAAACCAGCTCACGCATTTCGGCAATCTAATAACCACAAGACTTCAACGCAAACTAAAGCACGGTATATACCTCAAAGCCAGCCAAAAGCGGACTGGCTGAGGCGGGCAGTTCGAAGCGTTTACAATTAGGCTGCAGGATTGGCTGCTAAGCACAGTCACAACGTGCTGATCATCACGATCGGCCGCCAGCGGGGTCTCATGAGCCAGCATTCTTATTTTGTTTTTATATGTTTTTTTGTTTTATTATAATCATTTAACAAAAAAAACAAACACATGGGATGTGAGTCACAAGTGACAAATCACTTCCAAATAACACCAATCACAAGACGACCATATCCAGGTCACAATACGATCTGTGACGCCCATGCGCGCAGTCGCCTTGGGATAGCCCCATTCATTCTGGGATCCGTCCAGCTTGTGGACCTTGGCAGCTCTTTCGCTTGGCCCATTGCCTTTCTCGAGCAACCAGCACCAGGGGGTAGCCAAACCCAGCAGAGGGTAGCCAAACCCACCAGGGGGGTAGCCAAACCCGCCAAAGATGGCCAAAAAAACGATGGCCGCCTCACAACTCTCACTGCGCAGTTCCGCCACAAGCCGCTGCAACTGCATAGCTGCACGGCAAAACATGCCCCACGGTTCATGGTTGCCGCTCTGAAACGCTCGGAAGATTTGGGCAATCTGCCAACTAAGGCAAAGGCCATGAGCTCGTCGAGCTCCTTCTGAAAGCGGACATCTTTGCCCTTCAGTTTGGGCCTCGGCGCACATTTTGTAGTGCGATACCAATCCCTGGCGGCGCCACCGGAATTGAGGAAGCCAAAAAGTTCACTGCTCGCTGTGCAGACCTGACTTCTTGACCTTCCGCATCTTTTCAGGTTTTGTGTCGTAGCTTCAGAGTCCCTCGAGGCATCAGCGCGATGACTTTGTTAATGTTGGACACTGCCTTCGTCACCCCTGCTCCTGGTGCGCCGGGTGCTCAACAAATGGCTCAAACGTCTTTGGTCTGTGGGCACTTAAGTTAAACCGTGCACGGGTATTGTGAGTGCTCGCGGGTCCCAACCTAGATGTACTGTTGCTAAAAAAACATCGATGGCCAGCGACATCAAAGGTGAGACCAGTATCATCTATTTGGGTATGGGTCAAAATTGAACCCCAGAGAAACGCAGGTTTCAGTCCGTGTGTCCATTTGCCAGTGGGTCAAAATCAAGTCACTACAGAGTAAAGTGTGGTGAGACCAGTGTCATCTATTCTCACTTGGCCAGTGACCAGCCATAAAAAGTGCGGCCACTTTTTGGGCCACTTTTTGGGCCACTAAAATCTAGGGCCACCAAGGAAAAAAACTGGTGGCTGAGTGCGCCCAGTGGGGCGAGTCTTTCAACCAACCCGAGCTGCGCTTGCACCAAACCGCCTCTGAAGCGGGCATCGCCATCTCGGAGCTCCAGAGCCTCGAAGTGCCACGAGAGCTGAGGCGCGAAAAAAGTCACAAGCGAAACTGGTTTTCATGTGAGGAATGGTACAAGACATGAAAAAAATGGTTTTCATGTCAAAAATGGTCACAAACATGATAAATCATTTGGTACAAGAATGGACCCAGAACTTCAATTGGAAAGGCGGAGTTCCGCAACTCTTTCCGGCTGGGACTGCCCCTTGCTAACCTTCATCTACCCGAATCGGTTTAGATTGTGGCTCATTTGCTCTCACGGATCCAACTGCTTCCGTGTGGGTTTGTGGCCTATCTAGTCTTATGATCTTGCAACGCGGGGCTCAGAAGCACAGCTTGCGGAGTCTTGCCAGCGTTAAGACTACAAGCAGTCTTGCCAGAATGAATGGTTCAAGGAAACATTTGCTACACTTCGAAGCATAGGTCTCCCCTCTCACCCCAAAAGGTCCAATCCAAGGCCCAAACAAACTCCGAACGAAGACCCAATGGAGCCCAGTGCCTGAGAGAAATATGGCTGTGCCTCAAAAAACCGGTATTTCAAAATGGCTTGCCCTGGCAAGTGGAACATGGACGAAAACCTGCGGTTTGCCCCTCCTGTTTAATTTTGAGCCACACCCATATGGCCCAACGACTTGCCAAACCGCACCTCGTAGATGCCTGTGGAGGCACCGCTGGGCACGATGGCCCGTACGGTGCCGTAGCCTTCCGGCGCTCACACGAGTCGCTCAGTGAGGCAGGGCCCGGGTCGCATGAAATTACGAAGGAACCCAGAGCGGTCGAGCACATGCCGGGGACTTGTAGCGCATGCTCAGGCCCCTCATGCTCTCTTTGTTGTTTGCGGAGGTTGGGATCCCGCTCAAATGTGGCCATCTGTCCCCAGAAAGTGTCAGAACCCCGAAGCCGACATGTTTGGTCATCAAATACTAAACCTTAATTAGTAAACATCAGGATGATGAACGTCTGGTTCGCGCAAAATTGTTCATGCCTCATTGTGTTGTCCCGGATGACACTGTTTGACGATCTATCCATGTGTGGGAATGGAAAAGGATGGCCATCAAGACACAGGACCTCACGGCTGCACGTCAACTGTCCAACACCCAACACAAACATTCCTGCTTGATGACAGTGACAGTGACATCCAGTACGATCATGCGACGCATGCGACGCATACGAGCCCACATCATCAATAATCCAGATCATGATTTTCATGGTGCTGCACATCCGCCAGGCGTTGCGTTTTGAGCTCCTTCACGGACAACCCTGCCTGTGGTCAGCTCTGCTTCGACCGTGGGATTCCCTCGGCTATCGAGCACCTGACATGGAGCAAAAGGCCTGCGACACTCTGGCCTCAGCCATCCCTTTTAAAATAGGAAACCATAGGATGATTGTTTCTCTTGGGGTCATTCCATGTGTCATTCCCTGCCTATCGCACCAGCAAGTCACGTTTCGTGCAGCAGAACTTTGTGATGACTTGTATCTCACGGAGACGGGTCGCCCAATAAGTCTGCAAAAAGCTGCAACCTGCAGACGTTGCCTCAAACTCAAACTGCAGGGCCGCGCCAAGGGCATGCTTAAGGTGACAAGGAATGCTGCAGTTGTTCTGAGCAGCACGAATTAGCATGCCTTGCGCCCACCGTCGCTGGCTACCTCTGTTCGCTCAGCACCCGCGCCAGCAAAGTCTGCAAAGTTGGGTTCACAGGGGAAGGAATTGTATATCATAATATTAGAGAGCTGAATGCAATCATGGTTCCGGTTGAGCCCGAAACAGGCTTGGCCTTTTAAAAATGGAACGGTCACTTCAGTGCTCTTTTGGAGCCCTTTGGTTAAATTTGTTGGATCCTGATGATGCTAAACATACCGACCCTGCTGGCAATGCTTCTGCTGGGAATGCATGGCGTATCCTCAGTTCCTCGACCGCTTCATCCGACTTGCACCTCGACATTTTAAAATCCCGTCCAGCACTTGTCTAAGAATCGCACTTCTCCAATTTGCTTCGTTTTTGTGCTTGTTTCTCCTTCTGTTCACCTCTCCGTGTACAAAGCTGCTGTTCTTCCTGTTCTTAGATGGCCATGGGTCAAAATCCCGTACCGCCAGTGAACATCCCAATCCCCACTAAAGTAGGTTCTAAAATGGGTGGCGAATTCACCTACCCACCAAAATGGGATCCCAAAACGGTTTTGACCACCGCCAGATCTAGCTTTCTCCATGCCATTCATCGGCAGCTTGGCGCCTCGCGCCCAATCAAGCTGACAATCTTCGCCTTCTCATCTGTTGGCAAGTCCTGGCAGGCCGATGGGGCTCCGCGAATCGGTGGAAAATCCATGCCCGAGGCTCCAAAGCCAGACTCCAAAGCAAGTTGCGAGCTTGCTTTGCGGGTTGATTTGCTTGTTTCTTTGCTGTCTGCACTATTGGTTGCTTCTGTAAGTGTGCTTTTTTGTTTGTTTGCTCTTGTGTTTCGCCTTTGCTTGGTTCCTCCTCTTTGCTGCTTTTTGTTCAAGCTGTTTGCTTGTGCTGGCCTCGTTGTTGGGCTTTGTCTCTCGGTTTTGTTTGCAGTTGTTCATGTTTGTTTGCTTTACGCTTGGTCGGGCAAATGCATGCTTGGCAACATGGAGCGCACTCATGCCGCCCAGACCCACGAGAGCGGCCAAGTTGAGGCCGAGTCCTTGTGTTTCTTGCCTCGGCACAGTGCACACAGTGCATGCGGCGAAGTTTGGCGTTTCAAGCCTATGCACAGAATGGAGGCTCACTGTGCCTCAAAACATCTCCAAAGCAGGTATACAGTCATGGGTGCCCTTTTAGGGGAAATAGATGGCCCTGGAAAAACCAGGGCCATCTATGTTTCAACCAAAACAACCAAAAAGGACACCTATGTATACAGTATGAGCAAGTTGTCTGAGTGGCAAGAACTGCGACCCTGGACGTAACAGGTGCAGGTGCCAAACTAATCACAACTTGTCCTCCGTCATGCGTTTGACATCAGGTTCCGGGCCTCCAAAGCAGGTACTTGACCATCTCAAAGAAAGGCTGAGCCTCAAATGACATGGCTTAAGACATTGCGCTCACGTGGACTGGTGGTTAGGTGTTGTGGCTGCCTCCTCCAAGCAGCTCAGGTGATGAACTGGTCAAGTGACTCAAGTGAAAAAGCTGGGGCCCCCGGCAGCAGCAAGGCAACGATGGAGTTGATCAGTGGCCGTCGGCGAAGGCCTTGTCTAAATTCACCCATCACCTGAGCAGATCTGAAGAAATCAAACCAGCTCCAACCTGAAGCGAGACATCGAGGCATCGGCCTAACCCACCTGCCTGAAGCCACCCAACCAACCTGCCAGCTGGTGCTTTGTTTCAACAAGATGCAAACGTGAGAATCTCGGCTGTGAAATCTGCTTCCGCTGCTAAAAGCTTAACTTTTAGCGGTTGACCCATGAGTTTTTCAAAAAGCTAAAGTCCTAACATGTCCTAACATCCAAGCAAAATGCGCCAAAGTACTCCGAGCGGAATCACCGTCTCTGAGCCTCCAGCGCCTCGCTTGCGCCCAGCGTGGGCCAAGCTAGCCGAAATGGCCAGCGACGACCCCAAGCAACTTGCTGGTGCGATAGCTACAGTAACAAATCTGGGAATGAACCCAAGGAATCCCTCAAAGGCAACCACCAGTTGGATGGTTTTTATCCCAGGGTGGTTCCATGTCTCATTCCCGACCACCAGTTGGATGGTTTTTATCTCGGGGTCGTTCCATGTCTCATTCCCCGATTTCGCACCGATCGTATTTCTGCAGATGTGGCAAAGGCTCAGGAGCCGCCCGTCGGCTCCGATGGCATTTTTGTTGGGCACGGCGCACGGTGATCCTTGCCCATGGTGAAATGCTCATGGTGGTGTTCACTGCAAAAGCAGCACTGCAACCAAAAGGTGTTCTGCTTAAGATGCCTTTTGGGCAATCGCAAATGCTGTGCTTCTCTGACCAAAAAACAAACATTGAGCTCTCAACAAAGAACTCCAAAACTTCACCATGAGCATCTCAGCGGCTGGAGCCGGAATTAACAAACCTTCAAGGGTTTCGATTCGCTAGCAAGAAATGCCACTGCGGAGCAGAGGTCTTATGGAACCTGGGAAAGCAGCAAACACAACTCACTCCCTTTCGGCTCTAGAAATTCTCGTGGGAAATGGGCAGCTTTCCTTTGGATTTCCCATCAAAACGGGAAACTGGGTTGGAACGTGGGCCACTTCGATTTGCAGCGCTTCCCAGGCAGTGAGCGCTTTCAGGGCTTGCCTGCTTGCGCCTGGCCAGCGACATTGGACGATCGCAGGTCATGGATCTAATTTGGTTGAATGGCTGTAGCTTGCAAGTGCTCGTGCCCAAAATGCAGGTCTGGGGAGGAAGGAGTTGCGGCATACGAAATAACTTTGCGATTGCACTCAAGGCAACTTAAATCCACGCCGGATTGTGTGCAGCTGCCTGTCGCGCGCGCGCTCGACTCTTTTCCGCGGCATATAGGTCGAAGGGGCGCCCGGGTGCAAGGGTGAAGCCTGAGCCGCAGGCTCGCTCGAAAGCTACAAACCAACTCGCAAGCAAGCTAGGAAACAAGCAAACAAGCAAACAAGCAAACAACGTGATAAGAAATATTGCACAAACGGGCCGTGGCCACACAAATTTGAAGGTTGTGGCACTCTCGAGTTATTGGAGTGTGGCTATGTCTGTCGCTCTTGGTGCCTGAAACTCCAAGAATTTTGAGTGTGGCGCAATGGGGGGTCGAAGCCTGGTAAATAGAAAGAGAGGCTGAAACCTGCGACAGCCCAGCTGCTCAACTTTGAGCCACGCCCCTTTGTGGATGCGGCCTCATCTCGACGCCAGGGATTCAGCTTCACAGCCAGATCTGGCCTTGGCCGCACAGGGCCACGATCGCTTTGTCAAATAGCCATGTCGCGGATAGTCCGACCAAGTACCGTAGGAATCCCTATGCCCGAACTTTGGCCATGGCCTCGAATGATCGGTTTTGAACATGGCACGTGTGGCTAAGCGCAGTATGGGTGCCAGCGGTTTTTCTGGCGCAACCGCACCGAGACCAACTCCAGGACCAACACGGGTACATTTGTTGTTCTGGTTACGGGGTGATTCTACAGGGCCACCAAAGCGAAACCCATTTTGAGGGGAGAGTGTTTTTGATGTGGAGATAAACCTACATGTCCAGTCGGTCCAAGAAGCCCTGGTTCACCCCGAGTGAGAAGTTCTGATTGCAGCTGCTCTGAGGTGTCTTACCTCCGCTTCCTCGCGCTGTGCGCGGGCGCCAGGCTGACGTTTCCAAGTGCCAGGCTCTGGCTCAAAGTCTCGATCGCCGCGGAGGACCTTCGAAGCTTGGAACATGACAAGGGCTTCTTGAACGGAGGACTGGGGCCAAGATTCCTGGCAGCCACTGAGACACGCTGAAGAAAACACCACATTGGCTGCAGCCATCCGCCAGCTTCTTTTCCCGCATGACTCCCCATTGCGTCCTCACTTCAATCCTGGTCAAACACAACATCGCAAAAGGAAGAAGGGGCCACTTCCCATAAACCTTGGAAAACCACAAGCCATAAACCTTGGAAAACCACAATGGCACCTCCGCTCTCTGCGTGACATGACAAGCACCGAGAGGAAAAAAAAAAAGGAGAAAAAAAAGAAACAAAAAAAGAAGAAACAAAACTAGGGTCACTGCCATGAAGTCCTGGTGCGAGCGGTTGCCACGGTTGCCAAGTGATCTCTTCTGGCCGTTCTTTGGGGCTGAAAAATCCCGGGATCGCTTGATATGCATTGATTTTACCATAATTCCAAAAGCTGATTTTCGGGATGCCCGATAAACAGGATCTTTGAATATTTATCATGGTGAGCTCACCATAACTGCAGGTGAGCTCGCATGAGCTCGCCATAGCCATAGATTATGCGGACTTGATATTATTTCGGGCCCTGTCCTGTGCCCCAAACGCTTCGCTCCCATGCCCTTACAGGACTCCGATCAGTGGCTCCGATCGGCTAAAATCGCTACGACCAACTTTTGGATGGCCCCGACTTTCCTTGACGAACCTTCCAACCAGCGAGTTGCATGGCGGCAGGGTGCTGAAGGTCCAGATCCCATGGATATTGGACAGATCCAAGGTTCTTGGGATATGGACCAGTGGAAAGGCGTTTCCTGACAAGGGCAACTTCAAGGCCCCTGATCCCACGGCAAAATTTTCGCGGCAGTCCTGTGCGACAGTTACAGGCACATCGCCCAGAATCTCTCGAGCCTGCTCCCGAGGGCCCCAAGCGATGCAGCAAATCCAGGCAGTGCCCATGTGTTTTGATTCGCGTGCTTGGGCGCTTGGGTCCTTGCGGTTGTCCAATGCAAATCTCGGTAGGGGCACTGTTCGGCAACCACCCTTGAACTTCCTGAGCCGCAGGTTGTCCAATTCGCGAATTCGGGGCTTGCAACAGGGATCCTTACATTATACACCTGAACATTGCAACTTGTCTATTTGGTGTTGTTTCCATTTATTTTGTTGTTGAAAAAACAAGGCAACATGGTTCAAATGGTTGCGAAATGAATTTATTTTAAGGAGTGTGCAAGAAAGGGCGTTGACAAAGCCAGCGTCAGCTTCCCACCTCCTCGCCGAGCTTCTCAGCTGGATCTACCTGGCTGTCGACCTGGGCTGACCCTCCACTCGTCTCGGCGTCTCGGCTGACCATTTGGCTGTGATTGTCAAAAATCGGGTAACCCCAAAATGGCTTACCCTGGAAAAAAAAGGAAACACCTGAATAAAACCTGCGGTCCAACTCCTGGTGGTCTCAGTTTGAGCCATACCCATCTGTTGCCAGGGGTCAAAAGCCCGTACCCCCAGTGAACATCCCAATCCGCACTAAAATAGACCAAAATGGGTGGTGCACCTACCCCAAAATGGTACCAAAACGGTTTTGAGGCTTGCGCGTCAGAGCTTCTCGCGTACCGTGCGGAGAAATGGGACAAGACCAGCCGCTTCCTGGGCGCTGGCGCGAGCAAAGCTTTTGGCGGGTGCCGGGCAGCTCCTTAGATTGGTAAGGGACAAAGTGAAATCACCCATTTTGTTGCAGGTTCCCATCTTGGAAACAAAGCTGGGCAACATGAGAAACTCAAAACAAACCACGAAACACGAAAAAAGCGTTGTGGATCATACATAATATCAGTACGTCATCGTAGCACAGCCTCTCTCCCCGCGATTTCGAGACTTGGATTCAAACGCTGCAAGCCGATCTCTCCCAAGCCAATGTGGCAAGCGCCTTTTTCCTCAGCGTCTACTCATCCTCCAAGCCAGTTCGCAGCTCCGGCGGTTCCACATTGTCCGCGTTTGGGCTGGTGTAGAGCGGAGTCCCTTCTTCCGGAGCTGACTCTGGCGCCTTGGGACACAGGGCTCGTTAAAGGGGCAGCAGGTACGAAGGGCAAGTGGTGGTAATAACCATGATTCCCCGCACAAGCCATAATCATAAGTCTCCTTTCGGTGGCTTGGAACCAGGCTTACTCACCACTTAACATGACACGCGAAGGCCAGAAGCGCTTGCAAGGACCAAAGGGATGAGCAGAGAGCTCACGAATTGCAAGGCAGCTGCGTCCAGTGTATGGCCAAAAAGGAACAAGTCAAGGTCTGTCCAGTCAACCCAAGCCAGGTCTTTGGCCCCTGACAGAATTGCCTACGCTGACAAGGACCGTCCTTTGTCCCACCCGCTTCTTTCTGCTGTGCTTGCCCCACCCAAAATCTGCAATACCGCCGATTCATAAGCTGCATATCGTTCACTGATTCGAACCGTTTTCTGTCAAAGACGCGCATGCTAAAGTGTTTTGCTTGTTGCCAGTGAACAAACTTCCAAGCTGAGATTGCCACTGTTCCATCTGGGTGCACCTCAATCACCTTGGCATGGTCAAAGCTTGCGGAGGCGGATGTGAGCTTTTCTGTACCCCGCTCTCAGCCTAGGCCCCGACCAGCGGGTCGGGATCGATAAGCTTGAATCGCGGGGCCGCGGATTCATGCTGCTTCAGCGCCTCTTCCCACGATGCGTTGGCCTGCGGATAGCAATCAACATACGCGCCTGCAAGTTGCCCAAAACGTTAAGCATGGCGGCGTGCTTAGGCATGTCATTTTCTCTGTCGAGGTTTGCCATGTTTTTTTGTGGGCGGCCTACTGTCACTCTGTCACAATACCCAGGGCACATCCATCGCAACGTGCAAATCCTTCATGACCGTCCGTATCGGGCAGTCCTGCCTTGTCAGCTTCTGCATAGTGGTGGTCTGAGAAAATCTGGCGAATGGCGTTCCAAGCAAACATTGACGACGTGCCAGTTGAAAACTAGACAAATCAAATTGGGAGGTGGTTCCGCCATATTCTCACCTGAACAGGCAGCCCAGAGTTCAAAGGCATCTTTTAAGATGCGCTGCCAGCATACCAAGGCGAGGGGATGATGACATGCAACATGGGCAAATCCCGAGGTATGGGGAATGCTGGGCGTGCTTTAAACGGCGACCAAACAAGAAAACAGCCAATCTTGGGGGCTCCCCTTGAGACAAACCCACGCGTCTTTCTTTGGGTGGCACCACTTTTTGGGGTTGGTAAAGAAGGAACACCACAAAGGAAGCCGCCGATTTCTGGGGGACGTCCCCTTGAGACCTCCGCCCGTGGTCGGCTCTTCACCCGCGCCAATGGCGGCGCCTCGACGCTGGGCACAGCGCCCTCCGGCAGGTCCAAGTCCCCGAGTTGGCCTCCGGAGCCCGCGAGCGCGAGCCGCACGAGCCGTGCTTTCCGCGCCCAGTCGGCTTCAAGAGGCCATGCTGTGGGCTTCACAACCGTTTTGGTTTAGGCCAAGAGGGGAAAAAATGAAGATATGCCCAGTAGTGATGAATTCCTTTTAAACCCACAAAGGGGATACAAACATTCTTCAGCACATGCAGGTTCAAACTCAAGACTCTTTGTGCTTGAGATTCCTCCTGTTCCTTTTAGTTCGCCGCCTTCCTGCAAAACTTGTGTATGTGTCAGAAGGAGACCGAGGATGAGCTGCGCTGAGCCGCCCGCGGGGCGGTGGCGGCCAAGTGGGGGGCGAGTCGTCGTCGGGATCCGCGTGCCTAGCCCAAAGCTCCAAACGCAAGCGTCTGAGCGGCCGGAAATCTTTCAAGCTTTCTCACTTGCCCTCCCTCCCACTAACATGGCACCTGACAGGGGGGTCATGTCAATCGGAAATCGATCTTCCAGGTACCTCGCCACAGGTGCCATGTTAGTGGGAGGAAGGGTAGCACAAAACAAGGTA